TCTCAAAAAAAAAAAAAAATAGTTTCGGCAGCATTTTTTTTAGAAAGTCACAGAATGCCTGCAGTTTTTCCATTTGATTATTAAGACCATGCTGGGCACTTATGACTTGTATGATCATTTCCATGGTTTATCATTGCCATGCAAAGTACACTGATCCTTTTGAAATTTGTGAACCCTCACCGAAGTTTATCCAGTTTCCCTAGCTTTTCTCTCTACAAATAAATGCTATTCAATTACAGAGGGGCTATAAACAGCTGAGGTGGTGCAAGAAAGAGTCAAGAAAGAAAAAAGGGTCCCCTCTAAGCACCCAGTGCTCTGAGGAGGGAATGAGGGTCACTCTGCCTCAGGTGACTCATTTCAACTAGCGGAAGAGAAAGTGTTTGTGTTTTTTCCTTCCCTAGGTAGGTAAAAAGAAAAATGCATTATGCTCTCTACCTACAAATACATACATACAGACAGACAGACAGATAGACAGACATGCAGTCTTAGGTTAGTTTAACATTAAGAAAAAATGCTGATTATTAAAACTTAAATTTTTAAAAAATAAAAAGAGAGTGAGAAGTGATGTGACATGTCCATTTACATGTTTCCTGGCGGTCAGTGCACTAAGGAGTCCCCCCATTCTTCCCATAGGAAGAGTAATTATTTTGTAAATTACCTGGCTTGAATTTCCTGAACATGTTTCACGAATATCACAATCATTTACTGCTTCTCGGCACACAGTGCCCATAGGCTGAAACTAAAATGAACAAAAATCATGGTGTAAAACTGTACAAGAATAAATAAAACCTCTCACAATAGAATCTCAAAAGAAATTATTTGGCTAGAAATACTTTATAAACTATTTTAAGATGGTAGTCTGTGAAAACCATTTATTGCATCAAGTGTTATTTTAATGATTGTAAATGACAGTTCCTTGGCATGAAGGACATTCCCCAGTCATCACACATAAGCTTTAGAGGAGCCTGGAAAAGTCAAGCTGGTGCTTGATGGTGCATCTCCACGAGAAGGAGGAGCTGGTCCAAGTTCTAGTAAAGCTTCCTTCTGAACAGCTATCCGATTTATGTTTTACCCTTCATTTTTACTGACACCTTTATCATGTTACTCATTTTTTGCATTATCTGCCAAAAATTTGAAAGTTACAAGGGCTGAATCACAAAAGTTAGATTTTCTGGCAAAGCTATTTCTTCCCATGCTTTCCCTTCCCTTCTTCTTCCTTGCCTCATGTTTAGATAGACTTAAATCTTGGTCTTTTATTCTTTCCTAATGTTTCCTATTATTTATGCCATACAGGAGGTATGGTTTTTTTTTCCTTTCTTCAAACCCCTTATATATTTCCAAATGTGAGAGTTGTACAAATACATTTTTAAGTTCATTAGATTTAAAAATCGCAAGAGTACTCATAACAATACAGAACAGAGATTCATAATCTACTTGCCCTTCATAATCCTACTTGCCCTTCCCCCTTTGATCCCTTTCTCTTCCCCCCTCCAATATTTGGAGCTAGATACTTCTTTGCTTGTGTCTCTGCCCACAAAAAGGTACATACTATTCAATTTCCTAGAGTTTCTGTATAAACTTCATCTTCTCTCCCTACTCGGAACCCTTCAGTCATTTCACTTTCCTAATGTTCCTAGAACACACACAGCCCACTGCCAATTCCAATCAGGATTTCAACAGATACTCTTTAGGACATCAGAACAAAATGTGTATTCCTTCATCCATTTTCATCTATCAAGCATTTACTTAGCAGTGAGATTTTGCCAAGCACTGTCCTAGCCACTGGGGAAATGATGGAGAACAAAACATCAGAACCCTGATCACAACGAACTTGCAGCTTAACAGGTGTTAAATTGTCCTAAAAAAAAAAAAAAGAAAGAAAGAAAGAAAAGAAAAGAAAAGAAAAGAAGGAAAACAATTTAGTTTCCTATGTTCTGGTTCTGGAACGTGCCTCAATCCCAAGGAAGAATATACCCCAGAAGGTCTGGGGTAGAAATACGAGCAGATTTGGGGTAGAGTTTAGAGGAGAGTGCAAATGTTGAAGAACGTCCAAGAAACTACTGAAAGAAGGCATAATGGGAGAGGATTGCTCTAAGTGCTGGGATACAACAGGAAATCACTCGATCAAAATCCTGGCCCTAATGAAACTTAACATTATAATGAGGGGAGAAAAATAAATAAGTAAGCTCTATTTCACAACAGGGTTTGGTCAATTATGGCCTGATAGCCAAATTTGTCTGGCTGCCTATCTTTATAAATAAAGTTTTATTGGAACACAGCCACATCCATTTTATGTATTTTATGTATGTTTCTGTATTTTTAGTGGCTGCTTTCAAAGGCAGAACTGAGTATGACAGAGACTTTATGATCCACAATAACTAAACTATTCACTATCTGGCCATTTACAGAAAAAGTTTGCCAACCCCTGGCTTATAGATGTATTATTATAAACATACTTGGAAAAAAATAGGTATACACATGACTTTTCATCTTTTTCTTCTATTCCCTTTCCTCCATTCACTATCCTGACTCTAGCTCCCCCGGTAGTTCAGAGTGATGGTGAGATCTGGGGATGTGTGGTAGAGAAAGTAGCAAAACGGATCTCATTTGAGTGGGATAGTTGTAACTTATTTTGTGGGTTAGCAGTTAATCATGCCCTTTTATTTTTTCGTATTTCAGTTTTATTATTTTGTACTTGTTCCTTGAAATGATTTTATCACAGGGAATCTGATTTTATAAGACAAAGGAAAAAAGATGTCATTTCACAGATGGGCAGACTTAAAACATGGAGGAGTAAGGTAAATGATTCAGGACCCCTTGTTGTGGCAGCAGGAGAAGTTAACAGTAAACAGCTGTGGTAGCCAAAATGAAAGAACGTCTGTTTTACATTTAGTTTAATCTTTCTTTTTAGAGAGTGCTTTCAGAGATCTCTGCCAGGGCCTGCTTGTCTTAAAAAACTGCCAGCAGACACAGTGGTAGAATGGAAACAACAGAAACAGCTGCCAGCAGAGCTGGGGTATAACTGCACATCTCTCTTCCTTACTAGCCGAGTGAGCCATCTTTGAGATGGGGTACTACTTAATAATTATGAAAATCTCAAAAATGTGCTTATGTGAGTGGTTACGACAATGGCCTCAAGTAAGGATGATTTTACCCCCAAGGTGACATTTGGTGACATTTTTGGTTGTTATGGGAGGGTGCTGCCATAGGTAAAATCCAGGGATGCTGCTAAACAGTCTATAATACTCTGCACAAGACACCTTCACAACAAAGAAATGTCCAGCCAAAAATGTCAGTAGTTCCAGGGTTGAGAAATTTAAGTGTAAAATGACATAATTCAACATGCTTAGCATAATGTCTGCTACATAGTACTTTCACTATGATAGTAAATAGTTTCCTACCCAACCCTCCTTTAACTCATTAGACTAAAAGTTCCTCAATCAGAAAATCATCAGGAAGACAGTGCTATACATATTCACTCATTTATTCAACAAATATTTACTGGGAACCCACACCAATTACTCTGTAAATGCCTAGCTCTGCTCCATGAAATGTACAGACTGGAGGGAGAGACAGATATTAAACTTCAGAAATGTAGAATATTATACCAGATTTTATATGAAAAGGGAAAAAAAGAATTAGATTTCTTTAGGGAAGAAAGTAAGTCTTAAATAACTGTTAGTCTTGATGTGAATGCTTAAATATTTAGAGATAAGTGTGAAGGTGCTGGCTGGGAGAATGAAAACAGGTAAAATATATAAAGATGCAGTCTACAACTTTCATGCACAATAATGTAAGCAAGGTATTACTATGTCTAAAAGTATTCCTTTTGCTCCTTCAATAGCTAATGCATTAGATGCACTAAGCTGAGCATCAAGAAAAAAAGGATCTGCTGAATATCTGCTTGGCTTTACAAAGAAAAGTAAAGCCCAGTTTCACCTAACTTGCACACTCCTCGGGAAGGCAGTACGGAGCAGACAGCCTCTCAGGATTAACAGGCTTAATCCAAGTAAGCCTAGCTCCCTGGCTTACTTGGTGTAAGACCTTGGCTAAACTATTTAACTACTACAAGCCTCAGCGTTCTCATCTGTTAGATGGAAATAATAACAACTACACCTTACAAGATCTGTGAGGATCCTGTAAAGTTACCTAGCACTTAGTCATTTAATATGCCTTAGATACTATTTTGGTTATTAGATCATATTTACTTAGGTTTAATGACTTAATCTAATATGTCCTTTTTTCTCCCCAGTAGTCATTAACCAATATTTATTTACCTTGCACTTTTTACAGCAAAGACCATCACTGCACTGAGAGTCTTGGGTCAGGGTGCATTTCTTACAACACTCTGCTCCTTCAAGGACACATTCCTAAGGAATATAAACATTTGTAAAACATCAGGAAATGGTGTCAGTTTTTCTGAAAGCTCCAGGGTATTTTTTTAAATACATGTCCAAATTCACAATAATAATCTTTCTTCTATAAATCCTATAAAAGTTCCAGGCATGACTCTTGGCTCTGTACGTCTCAATGTAGGGAAATGGAATGACTCTGAATTTCCTTAAAACCATCAAACAAGGCTCGGCGCCTATAGCTCAACCGGCTAAGGCGCCAGCCACGTACACCTAAGGTGGTGGGTTCGAATCCCCAGCCCGGACCCGCCAAATAACAATGACGGCTGCAACCAAAAAATAGCCGGGCGTTGTGGCGGGCGCCTGTGGTCCCAGCTACTTGGGAGGCGGAGGCAGGAGACTCGCTTGAGCCCAGGAGTTGGAGGTTGCTGTGAGCTGTAATGCCACGGCACTCTATCCAGGGGGACAGCTTGAGGCTCTGTCTCAAAAAAAAAAAAAAAAAAAAAACCATCAAACAATCAGATACTTACAGCAGGGGTCCCACAGTCACACTCCTCTCCTGTTTCAATGAAGCCATTGCCACACTCAGGAGGATCTAGAAGCTGTGGGAAGAAAAATATAAAGGGAAATAAAATATAGAAACATTAATATCAAAGACATCGAGAGACCATAAATGCCACACCTATATACATTTGTCACAGTCATTCATGTCTATGTCATAGTCATACATTTGCTAGTCATTCCAAATATATTTTTATTTTCTGAAACTAGAACACATGACTTTAAAACTTAGAACTTCCCTAGTATCTACTTCTGTTTCCATTTCACATTTAACATTCATAGTATATAGTTTTACATATATATTTACATAAATATATAATATACATGCCAGGTAGGGTCTGGTAAATGTCACCAAATGGATCTAGCCATTGCCTAAAACCAAGTCAGACTGACACCTAAATTTTCATTTCAAACAGGAAGCAAGGGAGTCAGAATTTCTAGGTTAAAATATTGGCTCAACTATTTATCTTGGGGAAAGTACTTATTATCTCAGAGACTTTAATATCTGAAACAGGAATAATAATATTAGCTGTCCATCCACATCAAAAAATTGTGGTAAGGATCAAGTTTAGCCATCTGTGAAAAGCTCTTTATTCACTACATTTCTATTAATTTGAAATTTTAAAAACATAGAATTTATCATTACCCTCACATTAAAAACAGACTGTATTTCCTTTTGAAACAGAAAGTTATTTCACAGTCAATGAGGAAAGCATCACAAATTTAATATATCCATTGATCTATTTAATATAAAGTATAGCTCCTCCTAATAGTATAGCTTTGCAGAAAGCAGCAACAATAGTTTGTCCCAGAGATTAAAGCAATTTTTGGCCTATTCAAAAAGGGAGCACATTTTAGGTCTGTTTTATTTTTTAACTCTCCATTATCTTTTGAGTATAAGTTATCCTATAGTGATGGGCAAAATTAGTAAAAACTGCTGTATACCCGATATATAATATTCATTCAAAAGTTAATCAAAAACTACGTATTATAGAATGGAAGTGTACATACATCTGTAAACAGCACACATACACACACTCTCTCTCTCATAACTAACTAGAGGGGAAAAAATAAAACAAAGGAAAAAATTAAAAACCTCTTCCAGATTTCAAATACCCTTGCCTCTCCTACAAAAGAATAACTCTACTCTGTATTTCATTTTCAGTAGAAAGTAATCATGGCAAATTAAAACAGGCAAAATGGAACCATATGCAGATGAAATATACTCATATTCCCTTGCTTTGGGTTTAAAATAATCAAGTATGTTGGTAAAAAGACTTGTATTGTTAATATGTGGAAGCAATGATTTAGTTCAAATATGTCTTCCAACGCTTTTGCGAAGACAAGATGCTCAATTTACTTTTCAATGCAATATAATACAGTTTCTAAATTTCACTGGAGTGAAGAGAAAACGAAACCAGATTAATTACGAAGGCAATGCCATATTTCACTGCAGTGCACAGAAGCACTTCATAGTCCACACAACCAATAAGGACAAAAAATTCTTTTTTTTAAAACATGTGAAGTCTTCAAAATGCAGGAGGGAGATCTGCTTTCTAGTCAGTAACCAGAGGGTGCTCTGCAAGTTGTAAAAGCCTATGAGAAAGTCCAAGTATGGAAAATTTTTCTCCCTTTCCACTTTAAGAAGGCTTGGTTTTCAAATTGAAAAGTTTCTATAATTTTATTTAATTTTTTTGAGACAGAGTCTCTGTTGCCTCAGGTAGAGTGTCATGGCATCATCATAGTTCACAGCAACCTCAAACTCTTGGGCTCAGGAGATCCTCCTGCCTCAATTTTTCTATTTTTAGTAGAGACTGGGTCTCACTCTTGCTCAGGCTGGTGTTAAACTCCTGAGTTCACACAATCCACCTGCCTTGGCCTCCCAGAGTGTCAGGATTACAGGTGTGAGCCATCAAGGCTGGCCTCTATAATTCCAATCACACTGCTCATTCTGAAAGGTAGTAGTAAGATGTGACGAAGGGAGATATGTCCCCCTTTCTCCTTGTATGAGTTGTGACTAGGCATTCAATGGCGGGGGAGGGGGGTGGGGGGAGCATTACGAAAATGAAAAAGAAAAGGCAAAATGAAACCATTTAAGTGAACTCTGCCTCACCATTTTGCCATATAAAAAGAAAATGGAAAAATTTCAGACAGAAACACTCATATTTCTACTTGCTTTCTACTCTTCCCCATCTAAAGAGCCCCAAAATACCTAACATTAAAGCTGGCTTTGAAAATGCAACTATTTAGGCTCGGCGCCTGTGGCTCAATCGGCTAGAGCGCCAGCCACATACACCTAAGGTGGTGGGTTCAAATCCCCAGCCCGGGCCCACCAAACAACAATGATGGCTGCAACCAAAAAGTGGCCGGCGCTGTGGCGGGCGCCTGTGGTCCCAGCTGCTTGGGAGGCTGAGGCGGGAGACTCGCTTGAGCCCAGAGTAGGTTGCTGTGAGCTGTGAGGCCATAGCACTCTACCCAAGGGGATAGCTTGAGGCTCTGTCTCAAAAAAAAAAAAAAAAAAAAAGAAAGAAAATGCAACTATTTAGATATTCTAACTATATTCTAGATATGCACATACAGGACAAGTTTAAAAGCTCTCTTTTATAATATTCAATGGCTGTGTTGGAATTTGTGTCTAAAATTCTGCAGAAAGATTAATAATTAATAACTCTTGATCACACTAATTACCTTAGAAGGTTTGTTGAAAAGACAGGCACCACCTCCACTATTCAGGAAGTCATGATACTCTTCAACATTACACTGGGTGAACTTTTTAGGAAGATAATAGCTATAAGAGAGAAGAAAATCCATAGCCCAATAAAACTTGTCTCCCTTATTTGTGAACCAGTTTTAAAATTAAACTTTGTTAAAACTGTATGTTATTCTTTAAAATCAAAGAATAAATTCCACTTATGTACAACATTGACATTCAATCTACATGAGTTTTAGCCAGTCAGTGTATTTCTAAATTCTTCATCTGGTGACTAATAGTGACTACGGGTTGTTCATTATTTGCATATACATTCAAAGGAAACACAAATGTACATACAGTACCTGCAATTTTAATCAAGGAGAGCCAGGAAAAATATATTTCATAAAGGGTCATTCCTGAATATTAAAACTGGGCTAGAATCCAAACTGAGGAGCATTCTCCAAAATAACTGCCCTGTAATCCACAAATGTGTTAGGTCGTGAAAGTCAAAGAAAGACTGAGGAACTGTTCTGTCTAGACTGAAGGAGGCAAGAAAGCATGAAAATGAAATGTGATACCTGATCCTGAACATTATACACTATAAATAGCATTACGGAAACACAGGGACAAGCTTGAAAGAAGGCTAAGAATCAGATGGTTTTACTGGCTGTACTGTGGTTATGTAAAAGAATACACTTGTTTCTAGAAAATGTACACTACTAAGGTGTTTAGGAATCATAGGGCACCAAGTTAGCAACTTTATGATTGAGGGATAAAAAGATTCTTTGCTGCTAATCTTGCAACTTTTCTTTGAGTTTGAGATTGTTTTAAAAAAAATGCCAATCAAGTCATCAAAGGTCAAAAGAAAAAATAAACTTGGTTAGAGAACAATTTTGCAAAATGCAGAAGAACCTTCAAAATAAGCACATTCTCAGAAATTTTTCCTGAAGAAATAATTTGCTATGTGCACAAAAATGTATGAGCCAAGATAATTATGATAGTACAATTAGTAATAGCCAATAACTTAAATGTTCAAAGTGAGAGAAGTTAACTGTTAATAAAATACTATACTATGTAATTATTAATAATCATGGTATTGACTCAAAAATGTAGATTATACATATTTGTTATGTAAAAAAGAGTAAGCAATTATATATCCAATAGAAACTGAATTTTATAAAACAATAATAAAAATGGAAAGAGGAAAAAAAAACAGCATAAAATACAACAGTATTTTAATATCAATCCATGGTTACCAGTGGAGAAAAAAGCAATAAAAATTTTATTTTCTACATTTTTCAAGAATGGTTTTACATTGAGCTTTGATAAAATGGAAAAAAACAATTCAGATAATAATGAGTAGTTTCTATAAAGTTTCTCCCACTAGCCTGCGAAGACTATGTCCACTTATATCCCTACTTCTTTCTCACACAGTGGTTAATATTCCCTGAATCAATTACTAGAATTTATGATTATTCACTCTAAACTCATTTTTGAAGCATTTCATGCCAAATTCTCCTTAGTAAAGGAAACATAGGCTTAAGTTGTCTGAACTATTTTAGGTCCTTTATTTTCTTTTCTACCAAACTTTATTCTTTATTTGAAAAGTTTCTTATTTGCTTTACTTATTTACATATTACTTATTTTTCTTTTCAATGCCTACACTCCAATGTCTTTATCACCTTCCCCTCTAATCCATCCTACGAATCTCTGCTAGAGTTATTAAATTTAAATTGGGCTTTCTTCAAGTTCCTTCTTTATTACTGGTCAAAATATAAGATGGTTCGTTACCATGAAAGTAAAAAATGACTAACTCTTATTGTAGAACCCTTAGGAGTCAAAGTCTCCTTTGGCTTCCTACAAAGGCCCTCAGGAGTCACAGCCCAGCCCAGCCTCCTACTCACAACTTGGGTGGGAGGGAGCTCAGTCTGTTCTCCAACACTTGGCAGTGAAGGTAAACTCAGTTCCCTGGAGGGAAGCTCTTTTTGTATATGAATAATTGAAATTTCTTTCCTTTATTTTGCCACATCTGACTTCCTGTAACTTCTGCACACAGTTCTGTGTTCCGAACTGTATTAAATCAGCCTTATTCCTTTGCCCTAACATAGCCCTTCAAATATATGAAGGCCAATAACACCTCTCCCCTGCTTCTGCCCCCACAACTTCTGTTTTGCAGACTAGCACATCTATTGTATTTGGTGAAAAAAATCTTAAATTTTATACTTTAAATAGGAGTGAAGGTGTTCATTTCGACCACGCTCTCCAACATTTAACAGTATAGAGGAACTTTAGAAATGGGAGGCTCCGAATGTACCCATGAAAATACATATCCATAATTACTGCTATTAGGTGATATTTGGCATAGATCAAATTTAGTGTTATATCAATAAATGTTTTATATAAAGTGCTTTTCCCTCACATGCATGCATTTAATATAAGAGTTCCAATAACCATAGCTATACATATGTAAGGGTAGCCATTTGCTTGGTACTATGCAGATTGTCTATAAAAATTTAACAATCAGAATAATCAAATATAATATATTAAGTAGTTTTTAAAAGACATTTAGTAATTACTGAAAAATTACAACTATAGAACAAGAACATTTACCATTTTCTCTTATTATTAAACAGAAAGTCCAAGGAATTTTTTTTTATTAAATCATACGGTAGCTATGTACAAGTCCAAGGATATTTTGAAAAATATTTTAAATACACATTTGCATATACATTCCCTCCATCATTATTTTCCTTATTGTATCATATCCTGCAAATTCAAAATTCAATTGTAATCAATAAATATTTATTGAAAATTGTATAGAAAGGATTGTAATACCAAGTCTGAAGTACAAATTAATATAATAATAATCCCTCAAATTACAGTGAGAGAAACTATAAGCACCTATATAAAATTATAATGCAGGGATCAAAAATTACAGAAAACCTTGGATAGTTAGAAATGTAGTTAGAGAAAAAGGAGAAAAGCACTCCTGATGAAGAAAATATATTGAGGAAATCAAAAGAAATCAGAAAGTTATGTTCAATTATAATGAGCAAATTTTTAAGAAGAAGCTGGAGGCTCAGTGCCCATAGCTCAGTGAGTAGAGTGCTGGCCACATACACCAAGGCTAACGGGTTCGAACCCAGCCCGGACCTGCTAAACAATAATGACAACTACAACCAAAAAATAGCCAGGCGTTGTGGCAGATGTCTATAGTCCCAGCTACTCAGGAGGCTAAGGCAAGAGAATCTCTTAAGGTCAAGAGTTTGAGGTTGCTGTGAGCTGTGATGCCACAGCACTTTACCCAGGGTGACAGCTTATGACTCTGTCTCAAAAAAAAAGCAGCAGCAGCAGCAGCTAGAAATCTATGTAGGGCTCAGTGCCTGTGGCTCAAGCAGCCAAGGCACCGGCCATGTACACCTGAGCTGGCAGGTTTGAATCCAGCCCGGGCCCGCCAAACAATAATGACAGCTGCAACCAAAAACTAGCCAGGTGTTGTGGTGGGCACCTGCAATCCCAGCTACTTGGGAGATGGAGGCAGGAGACTCGCTTGAGCCCAGGAGTTGGAGGTTGCTGTGAGCTGTGATGCCATGACCCTCTACCCAGGGCAACAGCTTGAGGCTCTGTCTCAAAAAAATAAAAATAAAAATAAAAATAATAAAATAGAAATCTATGTAGGTAGATAGAAAAAAAAAATCTATGTAGGTAGATAGAAAAAAAAAATCTATGTAGGTAGATAGAAAAAAAAATAAAATAGAAATCTATGGTTAGCAAACCAAAAAAGGTTTCCAAAGGTGGAAACTCATGCACAATTATGGTAAGCAAACCAATCAAGAATAGCAGGGGAAAACGAGATTGCAAATGTGGATAAAGAGATACTGATCGAAATTTTGAAATCAAATCAGCCTTATTAAAGGATGTAAGGAATTTGAACCTTATTCTTTTGACATTGAAAACTCACCAAAGTTCTGAACAGGCACATGGCATTTAAAGAACAAGAGCTACATATTAACAGGATACATAAATCTCATAGACACCACATTGATCACAAAATACAAATCACATGCAGTAAGATGCCTTTCATATAAATTGGAACCTTGCAAAGCAATGCTGTGTTTTACTCCAACACACAAAAAGTAAACATATAAAGAAAAACCTGTGATTTGAACCAAATTAAAGATGGCAGTTACCTTGGCTGGGGCTAAGGATCAATAGGGGAAAGCATGAGGAAGATTTACCCAGGTAGGGAGTATCTTAATTTCTCTAAGCTAGACAGCAGGAAATACAAGTGTTCACTATTTTATTCTTTATACCTTTGTAATGATGATGGATGTGGAGCTCCAAAGGGGAAAGAGAGAGACTACAAGTTACCTGAGTATGGAGTATTACTGTAATATTAATCATAATAACACTAAGGTTAAAGTAGGCCAGTAGGGGGAAGCTAGGAATAAAAGGATTGATTTTAAAATGCATTTAGACAGAATAAAAGATAAGAATTGATGTCTCATGGTATGTGAAGAGTAGGATGGTATGCAATGAAAACTGTTCTCTGCAGAGCAGACTGTATACTTCTCTTCCCAATGTGTTTACAGTGATAGCACATTGTGAAGCCCCAGGAACCAAAGCTTAAAATCAGTCACTGTGGGAGTATTTATACCACAGAAACCTGGGAAAGCTATAAATCCAGGCTGTTCTCTTATTTTTGTTCTTGAGCGTCAACTTACCAGCACACTATAACCAATTTAATTAGAACTGAAGGATATAAAAGAAAGGTAAGTCATCAAAACCAAAGTTGTTCCTCATTTTTAATATTTCCAGCCTAGATGTAAGGCTAAAGAAATCTCTGAGGTCTACTAAATTAATTAACATCAACTGTGTTTATAAATCAGAGACTGTTTCATGACAATATTTTATACACAGGACCATTAAGAATACTGATTTCTGATTTTCTCATAAATGCCTGTGGTGAGGTTCCATGAGCTAAGTTGTTGAGTGTCATATTCCTCAGACAACAGCACAGCAGGGAAAGAAAGACAAAGTTATTTTCAAATACAAGTGGCTCACCCGGTGTCTCCCATTATGCATCCAGACCACGTGTCCTCACATTTACACTCACCTAAGAAAACATGAATACACATGCCTTGTTATAAAGTGAACACAGAGGCATTAAAACAGTTTCTATTTTTAAAACACTGTCTTTACTTTGTTCCTTAAATACCCTTTAAAACCTAATACCTACTTTCTAATTCTCCTTACACTTGAACTTTTTATGCAATGCATAGTAACAAAAATATACTTTAACCCTATCAAGATTATATAAATTTTACTAAAAAAAATCTTCTGATATTTTAACCATATTTAAACCACTTAAAATGTCTTAAGTGAAAGACAATCAAATACCAATAAATAGTGAAGAACTTTATGCTACAATTATTAAGAATCTAGTTACATAGATGTTTATGGGAATTATTAATTTTTTTATATATTTTTTAAAGCTTCTGCACCAAAGCTTCCAGCAGAAGGCAGTATAGTAGATTGGCTAAACAGAAGGACCTTCGGAATCAGAAATATCTGGGTTTAAAACCTGGGCTTGCCACTGAGTATAAGGAATATCCTTGTAAGATCTAGTCACTTCACCTGTAAAATAAGACTAAAAATGAGTATCTTATAGGATTAAATGCACTTAATGCATTTTGAGGATTAAATGTATATCTATATGTAGATAATACTGGCAGTCAATCATCTGGCATATAATGGGCATTCTATAAATAGTAATAGTATTTCAAAAATCATACTTATAATATTATTAAAATAATAAAATAAATATGGTTATAATCAAATTTTTACTCTAAATACGTAGTATTTGACCATTCATAGTGAAGTAACTTTACCTACTTGGGAAAAGATATTCTTCACAGGTACTAAACTTAGCATATTTTATTAGGTCTGTATTTTACTAGCTTTTTATCAGGTATCATCCTAATAGGGAAGTTCTGCTTCTTTGGCCATACTTAGGAATGTTTTAAATAAACCACAATAAAACAGTATAACTGAAACCTATATGCCTAGGATTCTCCAGGAGACCATCTAAAATCATCAGACTAAGCTTATTTTGCCACTTGTGAGGTTAAATTCAAGTATGAATATATTATTATATGGCTTTTATTGTTATTGTTGTTGTTTTTGATTTGTTTTTCTTTTTTTGAAACAGGGTCTCCTTTGCCCAGGCTAGAGCTCAGTGGTATCTTTGTAGCTCACTGGAACCTCAAACTCTAGCACTCAAGCCATCCTCTTGCCTTAGCCTTCCAAAGCACTAGGATTACATACAGGCATCAGTTACTATATCCAGCTGCATCTTGTTTTGTTTTTTATTTCAGAGACAGGTCTCTAGTGTCACTCTGTCATCCAGGCTGGAGTGCAATGGCACAATCATAGCTCAATGGAGCCTTAGTTTTAGGCTCAAGGGATCCTCTACCCTCAGCCTCCCAAGTGGCTAGGGCTAGAGGTATACACCACCACATCTGGCTAACTTCTTTTAAGACAGTGTATTGCTATGTTGCTCAGTCAGGTATCAAAATCCTGGCTTCAAGTGATCCTGCCTTGACCTCCTTAGGATTACAGGCCTAAGCACATCTGGCCTTACATGGCTATTACATATGAAGAAATTTTCATCTATAATGCAAATATTCCATTGTAGTAAAGCACTTTTAAAGACAGCATTTTGTGCCCTGGCTCTTTATCTATTCTTACAGTATAAGGATATTATTATAATATAAGGATCTGAATCAAAGAATCTCCTCCAAAATATTTACAGATAGTCTATTTCAAATACAACTAAATACAAGTGCTAAAACTTACCACTTGCTAGCTTTCTTTTGTCTGAGATAATACCAATATTATGGGCTAATGACTGGGCAAGTGTAACTGCCATTAAATCAGTTTTCCCAAACTGAAAAACAAAAACAAAAAGAAAATATATGTAAATACAAATTGTTTCTTATGTACCATGGGCCAGAGAAAAATGTCACAAAATTTACTGAAAATAAGAAATTTCTAAACATTCTCTTTAGCAGAGGCTAAACATATTGTAGCTAGTGCTGAATGTGAAATTGTGAAGAAGTAGTAAGAAATAAATCCATGTTTGATTATACCTTGTAGGGAAGACTAGAAGCCAGTCAATCTTCAACTTTTAGGTTTAGTCACTTAAGTCTAATTCTGAGTCCAAATTTCACCAGTGACATTCCTGAAAATCTTAATTCTTTTTTTTTTTTGAGACAGAGCCTCAAGCTGTCCCCCTGGGTAGAGTGCCGTGGCATTACAGCTCACAGCAACCTCCAACTCCTGGGCTCAAGCGAGTCTCTTGCCTCTGCCTCCCAAGTAGCTGGGACCACAGGAGCCCGCCACAACGCCTGGCTATTTTTTGGTTGCAGCCGTCATTGTTGTTTGGCAGGTCCAGGCTGGGGATTCGAACCCACCACCTTAGGTGTACGTGGCTGGCGCCTTAGCCGGTTGAGCTATAGGCGCCAAGCCGAAAATCCTAATTCTTACCCATGATTAAAATGTTCTTCTAGTTAATTTGAAATAAAAATATATGTTCTTCTAGTTACTATGAAATAAAAATTATTTGGAACTTATTTATCTTTATGTGTTGACTTTTGTTCTTAAAATTCCCTCCAAATGAAACATAATATGGCTTCAAAAACAAATGGAATGAGTTACAAGAAGTAGTGATAATCTTTGGTCAATAAATATAAGAACTCAAAGTTCTTTTCTAATATGTAAACTTCCAAAGATTCAAGCATTTCTCTTTTAGATCACTTCCCATCAGGTTTAGCACCTTACAAGTGAAAGGAATCCTTTGAAAAACTCATTCTACTTCTTTCTCCCCAAATTTTTCAATTACTGGAAAGAAGAAAATATCCAATAATCATTCAAAGGTAACAGGGCCTTATTTTCAAGGAAGGTAAAAATTCTTTCTCTATAACCTGTAAATAGCTTAGTCTGGAAATTATCCTAAGTAGAACATGAACAGAATTGTCACATACTGTCTTCCATTATTTCCCCATCTGTCCTCTGGTGAGTTACAGTAAGTATGTTAATTGTTAATATAACAATTTAGTATCTGGAGTATGAGGAATACTGAGAAAATGAGCACTTAAATATTAGGAAAACATTTTCAGCCATCATACCACTTTGTATTGTACAGATGTTCACACCTACTTCATTCACGCCTCCTCCTTTCAGCAACGAGCATATCCCACCAATATAAGCTGCCCCGCTCCGGCTACTCTCAAATTGACTTCCCCTTTTAGAAAAGGAAATGGAAGATGCTTACTGCTCACAGTTCAAATATCACAGCACCTCTCATTAATTTACCACATTTACTTTCACAATGTACATAACATTTCTACAATCTATATTCATGAGGTAAGGGGAGAATGTGAAGATTGTTTCCATATACAACCAAAGAAAAAGGCTTCTGAGATAATTTTTCCCACTCAATTTAAATTGACGGGTACCTATCAGAAAGAATTGCTGATACGATATACTGTGAGAAAGATACAAAAATCACTTTGTGTCTATTTCTGCTAAAAATACATAACTTGAATCTCAGACATTCCCACAATGATGGGAAGTCTGGCCTACATTTTTCAATTGTGTTAAGCTCAAAATAGACAAAATCTGAGGAAATCTTTTAGATTAAGGAAGACTAAAGAAACACGATGATTAAATACAATGTATGATCCTCAACTGGATCCTGGATGGAGAGAAAATCAGCTATGAAAGACAGATGGTGAAATTTAATATGGGCTGTGAAGGACATGAAAGTATTGTGTTGATTTTAAATGTTCTGGTTTTGATAATTTACTATGGTTAAATCAGAGAATCCCGTTATTCTTAGAGAATACACATTGAAGTATTTATTAGTAAATGCCTAGTAAGTGTCTTCAACTTACCCTCAAAAGGTTTAGGGGAAAAAAAATGGAAAGATACATCAATGGATAGAAGAGAGGGAGGGAGAGGGGGAAGGAATCATAAAGCAAATTAGGGAATTTGTGAATAATTGATGAATCTTGATAAATGACAAATATAATTTCCTTGTAGTAGTCTTATAACTTTTCTCTAAATTTGAAGTTATATGAAAATAAGAAGTTACCCAAAATTATTTTTCATTTATATCTTCAATAGCTCTAACTCTAGACGAGAAGTTCTTTTTAATGCTACTGTATGTAAACTGCTATTTCCAATACATTATATGTTACCAAAAATAAAAGCACAGAAGAGTAAGAAAAGAATTAAAAGTAAATTCCAGAAATACTAAGCTCTTATATTAGAACCCAAAAGAGAGAGAACATTACATTTAAAAGAAGCAACTTTAGAGAATATAAATTGTCTGTTAAGAATATGCTATATGACTATTAGTAGTACTTTTTACTCAATAGATGCTTTGATTGAATCTCTTGAAAAATTAAAACAGGCATACAATAATAAAGTAACTCAAAATTAAATCTCTTAAATTTTCATGACAACCTCAAGCAATCTATTTTTTAAAACCTCTTCCAAATGTATCAGCCATATCAAATCCTAATTGTACAGCAGAAAGGATACATTTCAGTCACAAGTAACAGAACATTCAACATGGAATCAAAGAAAGTAATAAATTATTATAAAAGTTACGTACGAAAAAAGGTGAACTGCATCACTTTTCTCTTTGATAAAATCCCTCCTGTATTTCATAAATTCACGTAGGGTGATCAGTGGATTTTCAGATATGGCAAACTTGTTGTCAGCCGCCCAGGTTTCCATGGCAACCAATACTATCCTGGTCTTAAGTTGGTCTTTATATATCTAATATATTAAAAAAATAAACATATCAGCTGTACATGTGGTAAAATAAAATTATTTATGAACAAGAATTTAAAGCTCCTTTCATGGGAATTTCCTGAGGTAGGAAACATTACTGTTTTTAAGAGAGATGATTATTGTTCCAATTTCCCTTAAGTAACAGAACAAATTGTTTCAGAAGACCCAAGGAACACAGTAGAAACAAATGATCCTTTTTGACAAATACTTGCACCCTAATCAAGCCTCCCTAACATCCCTTTTCTGGCACCCTGTGAAAAGAATTCATAGGAAGGAATTTCAGGCAAATCTACAGATAACCTTGACTACTTCCTCTTCCCAGCCAGAGATCAAAGTCAACAAAGTTAATTACAAGGTCCCCAGGGACTTACAGGATAGCTTGGCTACAGTAAAACTTGGAGCAGCAAAAGTTTAAGGACCATATTATCCATTCTATTAACAATCAGGAGATCAAATTCCTCCAGGACAATATTGAATCAGGTTGATACTTACTACATCTGCCATGTTCACCACAGATTTTGCATAAGTATTAGTATATACAACGGAAAGCCGATGTTTTTTAAACTGAAAGCAAAAGAAAACAAGTGAAAGGCTTTCAAAGTTATCAGGAAATAATCATCTCAATAAAGATAACATGGCATAATTGAAAGGTTCCTAAAAATGTAAAAAATGTGCTTTCTGTAAATACATGCTTTCTTATTAAAAAATATCAAAGTTGAGACATCAATCTCTATCTGTTGCGTAGCTTGAGGGAAGGTTTTTTAAAGCTTGAGGCCTCCGTTTACTCATCAGTGAGATGAAGTAAAAAATACTCCATTCATTTCATAGGTATATGTTTATCAGGATTATTATTTAAAATGTTAAAACATATGAAATCTGTCTATGAACTGCAGGAAACACAAATCTAAGTAGGAGTATAGCCAGAAAAAGTAAATGTGAATACTGCTAAAACTATAAAAATTTACAAGTTCTATAAGACTTAACCTAAGATAAAGGTCACAAAGAGGCTAGATGTGGATCACATATATCTTTTGTTTGGCCTCTGGGTATTTAAAAAATCAGGAAATATAAACATTTCTGGCTTCACTTAAAACTGGCATCCCCACATGGTAATAACTGGCAAGTACTGAGAGGCAGCTGCTCCCTTTAGACACCATGTGCCTTCCCTTTTGCCACAGGCCTCATCCCTCCCTCTTGTCTCATAACTACCCAGCTCACTTCACTTATATTATCTGTCTACAGATGTCCACAGATATCTGAATTTGTGACTATCTAAGGATTCAAAATATATGCTTTTGCAACTTATTTTGTAAAAATCCTAAGGAACAGTAACACTCACTGGATTCAAACAGGTAGAAAGATAAAATTTAGACCCAGACTAACCAAGGAAGCAGCACTTAATCCTGACTGTATTGTTATTATTATTAGCAACAATAGAGATTGACATTATTTATTTGATTGTGTATAAACAAACATTTTCCCTTAAATAAATCATTCCAGGTAAATTAAAATGCACTTGTACATGAAACTGAATAAAATTCAGCAATGTGTACCACTGAACATTTTTAGTTTCAAACTGTGGTTACATGGAATAATTAACATCATAATTCACTGCGGTGCTATGAATGTAACCATACTGACTGCAACATGCCTGTGAATTTAATACGTGCACTATGGATTGAAATAATTTGACTCAGCAAGAAAAAAGTTTTGCTAAATTATTATCCTAAGAATCTTCACTCCTTAGCCATATAAATATTTCCAAATAGTTTTCTGCATGGCAAGAAAGAAAAAGAAAAATTGCTTTGTCACGTAATTGGTGCCTCACTGACTTTGTCAATATAAAATGAAAATGTCCACTTTTCTCAATTAAACATTGTCATTTTAGTAAGCAAAGATTCGATTTGCAGTACCTATATGAATCAAGCAAATTCAAGGAGTTACTACCATCATGAGTTACAGAAATATTTTTGGAGCCTCAAAAATCATTACTCGTTACCGCCACCTAAGAATGTTTCCTACTTGCAGGTTCTTGCTGGTTAACAAATACTGTCTGGTTACAGACAGTTAACAAATGTTAACAAATATGTCTGGTTACACAAATACTCTCTAGGTTAAAACTTGACAGGCTTCTTGTTTCTTCTAAATATATGTTTGCACCTACCAGTTTTATTCTAGTCATGAAAAAGTTAAGAAAACAAAAGCAAATCCTACCATGAGATGGTCATTCACAATCATCAGCTCGATGTATTTGGTTTCTTCTTCTACATTACGAGGGTATCGCCGAAGCTGTAAGGGAGCAAAGGAAACAGCGATTAAAAAGCCCTCTAAACAGGCTGTGAAAAACTAAAAAATACAGACAAAATCAACAACAAAAACATTCCCCTTTTTATTCCTTGTCCTTTAAAAAAAGAATTCCATCAATTTAGCTTTTGAGGTAAGGAAATGTAAATGTTTCAAAAAATTAAAGAAGTATAAAAAGTAGGATGAAAGTCTTCCTTTCACCTGTCTCCCCATCTACCCAGTTCCTGCTTCTTCCCTCACAATGGGTTCAGCACGTTACTAGTTTCTTTCAGAAATATTAAAATTTATGCATGTAAGATTAAATTAAGATTAAATATGAATACATACTTCATTTTGTACTTTCATTCATTTTACTCTTTTCTGCATCAAACTGTTTTCATTTAACAGTGTACCTTGGAAACAGTAATACAGAAAGAATATTCTTTGGGCCTTAACTTAAGGTCCTAAGGTACTCTGAGAGGGTTGAGGAGGTTGACACTTATATTCTTGAATCTCCAACCTGGATTTGAGATATGTCCTTCCTCCAGTATGGTTCAGGGGATCCCCCAAATAACATGAGGCTTTTTACTGGATAGCTTTGAGAACTTCCAGGCAGTCTTGGGTTATCTGTTACAGCTAGATCTCTATTCAACAACAAACACTTTCCACTTTCAAAATCACGACCAATGAATGAATATTATAGGCAAGAGCCACTAAGTGGCCATTGCCTTTGTTCTCTGCAGTAAGCCTAAAACACAATCTAAACAAAGTCTGTAAAATTAATAGTTGCCTTTATGTTGTGCTTCCATACATATTTTTCTTAGCAAATCTTTGGTTCACTTGCCCAAGGCACTTTTTGCGAGGAGGGTATACAATTAAACCTAAATCAATACATACAAGTTGTGAGTGCTGCATTTAAAACAAACAAACAAAAAAAAAGGTCCACATGAATTTTGTCTCATTCTGCTCCTAAACTTTAAAACTTTTCAAAAAAAATCTTAAAAACAAGAAATTGATTAATAACACTAAATTGCATCCAATGACAAGAGTCTTTTAAAAAAAGGGGTGGTGTTTTAAAATGATAGGATCTGCTTTGATCATTATGGGAGACACTGTACTAGTATATTAAGTTACTACAGTAAACTTTCCAACAAGTCTCAATATTGTCGTAATGTCATAAAGCAGCCATATTAGCCTTACACTTTTACAACATCTCAGTGCGTGTATCCACAGCTGTCTCGAAAAAAAAGGCAAGGATGTATCTGCATAGCAAATGCCTGGATGTCGAGATATTTATGAAGAATTTCAAAGAACACATCAAAAGAATATTACCCTATTCTCTCCGTTAAAAATTCACACAAATGTTTCTAATTAAATCCTGACTGTATTTTTATCTAACTGGGCTTCAAGATGTATGTCTCTGTCTTTATATGTGTGTATGTTCACAACACATATTAAGTTCATGGCAGAGACTTATGGAACACATGGGCTTCTGAGAGGCAATATATAAAGCATACATGGTTATAAGCACTTCTCTGAAACCAGACTTCCAAGGTCAGAATCCCAGCTCCGCCACTGGGTTGCTCTGTGAGACCATGGGCAAGTTTTGCAAGCTTCATCAGCTTTGTAACCCTTATTAGTAAAATGCAAATAAGATAGGTTGAGTACCCCAATCAGAAAATCCCAAATCCAAAATTCCCCTCAATCTAAAACTCTTTGCATGCCAAAATGATGCTCAACGATGTTGAATGTTCATTGTAACATTTTGGATTCTGGCATTAGGGATAATTAATCTATAAGTATAATGCAAATGTTACTAAGTCCAAAAAAATTCAAAGTCCCAAACACTGTAATAATACCTTCCTCATAAGATTTTTAGGAGGACTAAATGTTTTAATACAGTTTAGGGTAAATATTCAATACAATTTAGCAATTATTCACAATAAAAATATGTCTGAAATTTTATTTCAAAGTAATAAAAAGAAGACACATGGTTCCTTCAACTGCTTAATCTTACTAGAGATCTATTTCCTTCATCCTGTGTGTTTTGGGTTTTATGCCTCTACCCCAATGCAAACAAATCAATGCTAGGAGTGATAACATCTTAATCCTGACGCCCAGAGCTCTTACTTTGTCTAAAGAATTTACCAACCCTATGACTGTGGGTAAGTCACTGTCATAGGTCAGAGCTATCATTTTTCTGTGACAGAAAAATAAGAGTAAAGTATTATTCTCAATAATACTTGTAAAGAAGGAAGCTACTTCATTTGATTTAAAGCATGGTATAAACAGTTGTTTTTATTACTATGTATTACCCAGTCCACTATCTGGTTGAATAATCATAAAACTATGTTTTAGTTTTATGTCATGGACTCCAAAGTAGACCAAGTGAGACAGTAGTGTGTTGTGGCCTAAAAACATGACATAGTCATTCATGAGGCACTGTTTTCAAGGGGATAAAGACAAGGAATGATATGTCCCTTACAAGACTCGATGATGCAGTGCATATCTGGGCAAGGAAAGAGGCCTGTGGTGGAAAGAACCTGAGATGCCACAAGCTGGGGCCTCATAATCCACAATAGGATGGGGAGGCATGTTATTCTATAATCTTCAATCCTTTTGAGTCTATGAAATAATAAGGCCCCGTTCCTAATGCTCCTAACCAACCTGCTGCCCTTTCTGCTTCCCATACCCTGACAAAAGCCTGAAACAGTACTCGTCCTCTCACAGAGACTTAAAGCAGATCCATGTGTCCAGCAGTTACCAAGTGTTTTAAATGTCACAACAAATACCTGTGAACACATACCTGTCGCTTACTCCTTTTTGGTCTTGGCTTCAAAATGAATTTTGGTGAAGTGATGTTTACTTGTTGGAATTCTAAAAGGAAATTTAATTTAAATTAATTTAACTTGTGCCAGATTTTTTTAATACAGAGCAATCAAATTTTTACTCACTGTTTCTTCTTACGAATTTTATCCCATCTAATGTTGTACCTAATGTTTAAACTGAACATTAATCTAAGTAACTATATCATATTAATAAACATATGATGATTAATTCATAAAGTCTCAAACTGTATTTCTGATCTAGCTTATCTCAATTCATATTTCTGCTTTAAGTTCCATAACATTCTTTATCAAGAATCTCCTAAATGGCCAACTTGACCTTCACTTTCATTACTAACATTATAGAGGCAGTGAGAAGCAAGTAGAATAAATAATCACACATTTACAAGTTCATGATTAGAAATGATTATAGGGCACTAAAATTTTGAGTTATAAGTTAATAAGTTATTAACTTATTTCCAATTAGTTGTCCCATAACCAAATTTATCTCAGGCTTTGTCTGCTCTTAGAATCAGGTGTAAAAATCCAAACTCCACCTAACTTGTGTGTCAGAATAACACATCAACCACTTATGCATATAGATTCATCTTTGGATTTCAGATTAGATAATGGAAGACCTTCCTAAAAACTGAAAGAAAAACTATAAACATTTCCGTGTGGTGCAAATTTCCTGAAACTTTGGTTGATTGAACAGCATAAAGGAGTCTGACATGTAGCTTCCTGTGGGAGTAATGCTACACAGCACTAAAGACGAACCATTATCAGTATTCTTACAATTTATATAAATTGAAAAGTGCTCTGGAATTACACCACTGTCCCAGAATGTGAGAAAATGTATTTGCTTTTCACATGAATGTTTTATTATCTTAATAGGAAAAAAATCACTCTAGATTACCAACCTGTGCAATTTCAAAAAATTATGAAAGATTTGGCAATATATAAAAATATACCATAAGCAAGTGGGCTTCATCAAAGAATACAAACTAATACAAATAATTCATATTTATGCAAGTTGCCGGTTTAATAGATTCAAGAAGATCATTATAGGACAATCTCAATAGATGCATAAAATACATTTGATCAAATTCAAGGCCTATTTTTGATTTTTTAAATCTTAGAAAACTAGAATAACAGGCTGTTAACACTACTCAGCTGCAAACATGTGCTCCTTTCATGGACTAGGAAGGGTAGGCAGAACCAAGGGCAGAGAGGGTGGCGCCAAGAGTCATGGATAATTATTTCCAGACCTTAAAACAAATCAAGGAAGAGTTTGCATTTGTCTAGCAAAATTTCAGAATTGCTATTGTCAGTGTGTTCTTTGTTCCTCCAAGTTCCCTCTTTTTGAAAGGGAGTATCTGTTGCTTTTATCCTCTTATTGGTCCATTAGTGAATAGTGAGGGGAAGTGGAGCAGATAACTTGGTTTTTAGTTTTACATATCAAAGGATGGAGAGGAACTACACCCAAAGACCCACTTCTACACCCAGACCTGATTTACATAATGAGATTCTGGGTTATGAGCAAATGTTATAAGGAGATGAAACTCTTACAACCTTGGGAGGGAATGAATGTATTTTGTATGTGGGAAGGACAGGAGTCAGTGGGAGTCAGACTACTGTGCAGGCTCAGTGATGCCTCCAATTACTTCACCTCCTGGGACTGGTGCCCTTGTGTAATGCCCCCTGCCTGAGTGTGGAGGAAACCTGTTTCTTTAACCAACAGAATATAGCTAAGGTGATGGAACAACACTTCCAAGACAACATTATATAAAATTATAACCCATCTTGCTAGAGACCCTCTTCCTTATTGGCTTTTCTGACAGAAGTATCTATGTTATGAGCTACCCTATCATATGGATAGACCTATGTGGCAAAAGATAGAGGGCAACCAACAGCCAGAAAAAGAAAATCAGTCCAGGGAATGAAAAGCACTGAATTCTGCCAACAACTACTGTAGATCTTGCCACAGCTGAGCCCTAGCTAACACCTCAATTGCTGCCAAAGTGAGAATCTGAGGCAGAGAACCAACCCATCTAAGCCATACCTGGACTCCTGAGCCACAGAAACTGTGATATAATAAATGAGTATTGTCTTAAGATGCTACTTTGTGGTCATTTGTTACTCAATAACAAACAACTAATACAATGCAGTTGTATAATCCCATCTCCCTGAGAGAGGGCTGGACCTTATGACTCATTTCCAATAAACATTATAGAGCACAAATGATGACATGTCATTTTTGAGATTAGGTTGACAAAGAGACTATGGTTTCCATCTTAGGCATCCTCTCTCATTTAAAAAAAAAAAAGGCAAGATCTAACTATAAGTAGTTTTCAAGAGAGTACCTTATGTGTAAAATATGGAAGAAAATATACATTACAAACATTAATCATAAGAAAACTATGAAGGAGGCTCAGTGCCTATGGCTCAACAGGTAGGGTGCCAGCCACATACAAGGGAGCTGGCGGGTTTGAACCCAGCCCAGGCCTGCCAAACAACAATGACAACTACAACCAAAAAAGAGCCAGGCATTGTGGTGGGCACCTGTAGTCCCAGCTCCTTGGGAGGCTGAAGCAAAAGAATCGCTTAAGCCCAGGAGTTTGAGGTTGCTGTGAGCTGTGACGCCAGGACACTCTACCGATGGCAACAAAGTGAGACACTGTCTATAAAAAAAAAAAAGAGAAAAGAAAACTATGAAGGAAATAGTAATATAAAACAATGTAATTTTGGAGCAATAAATATAATTAGGGGAAAAGAGCACTATTTTATAATGATAAAAGGATTAATCACCCCATCAAAAGACATAACACCCTCTTCCCTTGCTCTCTCTCTCCTAGAACAAGCCATCTGCCTTATTCTGGGGGTGTAGGAGGCAGGCAGCCCTATGGATAGGCCCATGTGGTGAGGTACTGGGGCCTTCCAACAACTGTACAAGCAAGCTTAGAAGCAAATCTTTCCCACTTGAACCTTCAGATGAGATTAAAGTCCCAGATACCTTGAGCTAGAGGTACCCAGCTAAACCAAACCCAGGTTCCTAACTCTCAGAAACTGTGATGTCATAAATGTTATGGAGTAATTTGTTACACAGCAATAGATAACTAATACAACCTCTACACTAAAAATGACCAAACACTGAGAGAAATTTAAAAAGTCCTAAATAAATGAGGAGATATGCTATGTTCATCAACTGGAAAACTCAGTACAGATGTCTCTTTCCCCCTAATTAATCTATACATTCAATGCAATTCTAATCAAAATCCCAGAAGAATTGTAGAGGTTTGTTACAAAATGTGGATGGAAATGCAAAGGACCTAGAATAGCTGAAACAAATTTGAAAAAAGATGGAGAATTTATGTTGTCTGATTTCAAAACATCTTATAAGCAAAAAAGCATGAGAATGGCAGCTAATTAGAGTCAGGGAAGAGACCCATGTTAATACTGTTTGACAAAGATTTCAAACAACTCAGTGATAAAAGGAAATGAAATACTTTTTAATAAATGACGTTAAATTAGACATCCTCACACAAAATAGTAAGATAAAAGAAAACGCGACCCCTACCTTTATACCATGTACAAAAAGTAATCTGAAGGGGAACACAGATCCAAACATAAAAAACAAAACCATAAAGCTTTTAGAAGAAAACATTGGAGAATATTCTTGCAACTTGGGGCAAGCAATTATTTCTTAGGACACATAAAGCAATAATCATCAAAACTGATCGCAGACTTCACCAAAATGACAATGCCTGCACATTACAAGACACCATCAGGTAAGTAAATGAGCCAAAGACCAGGAAAATATTCACAAGGCATATCTGATAAGGCCTTATACCCAGAATGTGTATGTACTACTACCTACACCTCAATAACAAAAAACAAACATTCTGATTAAGTGCCAACAGCATATATTACACATCATTAGCCATATGAAAGATGCAAATTTAAACCAATGTGAGACAGCACAACACACAGCAGGAGAGCTGAAATTAACAGCTGATGTTAGTCAAAATGTGGCACAATTAAAACTCCCGTACAGTGCCTAGGACAGCATCAAATATAACCATTTTGGGAAAAAGTTCAGCAATTCCTCATAACACAATGGGTCTCAAAATGTGAGTCCTGCACCAGCAGCATCAACATCACCCCCTGGGACTTGGTGGAAATGCAAATTCTCAAAACTAACCCATGATGTACTGAATTAAAAACTCTTGGGCTGGGGCCAGCAATCTGTGGTTGGCAGCCCTCCAGCTGATTCTGATGCATGGCCAAGTCTGTGAACACTTTTTTACAGTTAAACATATACCTACCCTACGGCATAGCAATGTCATTCCCATGTATTTACCAGGAAAACGAAAATAGGTGCCCCCTCAAGACTTGTGTGAGAATGTTCATGGTTGCTTCATTCATAACAGCCGAAAGTTGGAAACAACCCAAATGTCCATCAACAGAATGGATAAAAAACCACGGAGTACTCATACAACAGAATACATGTATACTCAGTAACTGCTACTGTGGAAAACATAAATCTCACAGGAATTTGCTAAGCAAAAGAAGCTAGACATACTACACGATGCCATCTTCATAAAATTCCCCAACAGATAAAACTCTATAGGAAAAAACAAGTCAGATAACGGGTTGCAGAGGTGGGAGACAATAACTGGGAAGGTACACAGGAAGTCACTATGGTAATGGAAATGCTCTATATCTCAAGAGAAGTGTACACATGTCAAAATTCATTTCGTAGTACACAAGAGTTATATGTTTCATTACATACAATTTTTTTAAAAACTGGGTGCTAAGGGATTCATGGGAAATAAGATTTTCCCAAAATCTGTTCTTAGAATCACTACTCCTGGCTCGGCACCTGTGGCTCAAGCGGCTAAGGCGCCAGCTACATACACCTAAGGTGGCGGGTTCGAATCCCCAGCCCGGGCCCGCCAAACAACAATGATGGCTACCAAAAAATGGCTGGGTGCTGTGGCGGGTGCCTGTAGTCCCAGCTACTTGGGAGGCTGAGGCAGGAAACTCACTTGAGCCCAGGAGTTGGAGGTTGCTGTGAGCATGATGCCATGGCACTCCACCTGGGGGATAGCTTGAGGCTCAGTCTCAAAAAAAAAAAAAAAAATCACTAGTCCTGAGAAATGTGCCACATAAAACAAAAGGTTCTACAGTCAAACTAGTTTGAGGAATTTCTGGGAAATACGTAACCTGCAAGATAATGATGTGAATATTGCATAATCCAGTCAAACTTTTTTTATCCTAAGATCAATAAGCTTACTTCTGAGGACTAATTTCATAAAAATTACCTTTTATTTGTCTACTTATTTGATATTTGTCTATTTCTTACTTTTTCTTCTAATTTATCCAGGTAAATCATAAATAATATTGGGTGACAAGCACCACCTTAACAAAGTGGCAGTGCCAATTTCTCTTTAGAAACTAGTTGAGACAGACCTAAATTTTCAATGAAAATGTCTAAAAATCCTTGTAGATTTTACAATGATTTGTAAGCAGCAAAACTGCCAAGTCATCTTTAAAGGTTCTGCTGAAAAGGAATCCCGAAAAGTCTTGAAAAAAATTATGAGGTTATGCAATAGCAAGTCCTGAAGAGGATCCAATCAAGTCCAGAGAAGGATCTTTATTACTTTAAATATTAACTAATGTTGACTGCTTCCAGTAATACCTATTAAATTGTGGCTTTATTCCTAGGCAGCTAGTCATGATTTATTTTCTTCCCATAATAGGGATTGTAAAAGTTTTCATAAGGGCACTGAAGGAACCGTCTAAAAGGTCTGTGTAAAGTAAAAGCACCAATATGCCCATTTGCAGATTTTTCAAAATAGTGAATTCTGTAAAATCTTCTATCCCTTTGGCAGCAAGAGAGAAAGGGAGAGGTATTATTTCTCTTTAGGGGAACTGCGGGAGAACAACAATGTGATAAACTTATTTCAGACAAGAAAGAACATTAGAAAACATTTATTGCATTTTCTGATGAAGAAATGAGGTAAACTTCTATGGGATTTTCTTTTTTTTTTTTTTTGAGACGGAGCCTCAAGCTATTCCCCAGGGGAGAGTGCCATGGCATCACAGCTCACAGCAACCTCCAACTCCTGGGCTCAAGAGAGTCTCCTGCCTCAGCTTCCCAAGTAGCTGGGACCACAGGCGCCAGCCACAGTGCTGGCCATTTTTTGGTTGCAGCCATCATTGTTGCTTGGCAGGCCTGGGCTGGGGATTCGAACCCGCCACCTTAGGTGTATGTGGCTGGCACCTTAGCCGATTAAGCCACAGGCGCCGAGCCTTCTATGGGATTTTCTAAGCAGTAGTTCAGGATTTGCTCTCAGGCTGGAAATTGTCCCATTGCCCTTTGTGCCTCTCTCCCAGACTGTATCTTCACAGTTTTATAATCTAAAACTCAACTTTGTCCCTTACTGCCTGTGGGACACTGGAAAAGATAAACTAGCAGAGTTTCTGTTTCCCCATCTACAAAATGGAAATAATATCAATCTTACAGAGCTGCTGCAAAGATTAAAATGAGATTCAAAGTTAGAACAATCAAGGCTCACTAAACAGGGAAGGAAGCATCTCCACACAGATATTTAGAGCATACCCTATCTTCAAAAAGAGAAAATGAGTAAGTCCAGTAAAGCCAGAGGCAAATGCACCCCGGGTCTTCACTGCCCCACTAAGAAGCCCAAGTATTAGTGCACTACTCTTCCTGTCATGTGAAGACTTGGATGCAGCTCTCAAATCAGTGTGGCCATATAAACTGACCCATAAATATACACGAGAAGAAAGGACTAATTTCACAAATAGCAATATTAATAATAATAGTTAATCTAGAATAGTTCTCTCTCTCTTTTTTTTTTTTTTTTTTTTGCGACAGAGCCTCAAGCTATCCCCCTGGGTAGAGTGCCATGGCATCACACTCACAGCAACCTCCAACTCCTGGGCTCAAGCGAGTCTCCTGCCATAGCCTCCCAAGTAGCTGGGACTACAGGCGCTCGCCACAACGCCTGGCCATTTTTTGGTTGCAGCCATCATTGTTGTTTGGCGGGCCCGGGCTGGGGATTCGAACCCGCCACCTTAGGTGTATGTGGCTGGCGCCTTAGCCGCTTGAGCCACAGGTGCCGAGCCGAATAGTTCTCTCTTAAAATGATGAAGCTGAAAAGAGATAAGCAAACAATAAATGGGAAAATGAGTTCATCCCAATCTTTATACAACTAGTACTTCATCAAGAGTGAATTTTTAGGGTGGCGCCTGTGGCTCAAGGTGTAGGGCACCAGCCCCATATGCCGAGGGTGGCGGATTCAAACCCTGTCCCAGACAAAAAATGAAAAAAAAAAAAAGAGTGAAATTTTTACATATTTTATTTATACAGACTCTAACACTGCTTCTCTTAGTATCTTACTTTAGTCTTAAAAAATCTATTACAGCTTTCTTCAGTGTGCTTAAGCCACATCTTTGCAAACTCATCCCCCTATAAATATGATGTCAGTTTGCATTTTATTCTTCCTCTTGATGTGACCTGGCTATCCCTCTAAAATTGCCACAAGCAGATGTGGGCTAATAATATTCCATACACAGATTAGTTCTAAAGCACTAAATGAATTACTGAAGTTGTCCTTTAAAGAGAAGTCACTATATGAACATCATACCAGATGGAAGATCATCCAAGGGAAATTCAAACAGTCTGGATTTGTAAACCGAATGAAAATGGAAATCCTCCTGAAATGACATAAGCAACAGGGATTAAGCTTGTACAACCAGAAATCTCCAGCCTCAGGCAATCATAGCAGGAGACCCTTAAAGGAACTGTAGCTTTGCATTCTCCTGGGTTCAGACAGGCGATGAGCCAGGGCGAAACCCCTCCTACTCACTCCAGTATTCTCCCAGCACCAGAGCAAAATCCAATTAGAAGTAAAATGCCTTCACAGACAGAGCAGCCAAAGCCTGCAGTAATGGAAAATAAATGAATGGATCTATTCCCCCAAGGAGAAGTAAGACATCTTAGAAAATGGGTTAATGTTTACCACAAGGGGTGCCTTTTCATAGTTTCCTGCCCCCTTTTAAAAGTCAGATAGCTTTGGTGGGCAAAAATCATAGTACAAACAATCTTCCTGATACTGGGAAACAGGATGTCTGATAGAAGCAGATGCCCAAGGTGGACACTGCTCCAAAATTCAAGTATCATACAAAGTTGTATTTAAAAGAAAGAGATAAAAAGTCATATTTTTCTTCAAAGAAATATTAATAAGCATTTAAATATAATTTCATCAGATGGCGCCTGTGGCTCAAAAAAGTAGGGGACCAGCCCCATATGCTGGAGG